TTCGTCACTAATAATCTTTTTTGACGGCTTGTCAGACAAAAACTATTTGTGACGCTAGTATTTGGAACGGAGCGCGACGGCTGCATACTTCGCAAAAACACAATTGCGACGAAATTTGACATTTACTGACGGAATCCTCTATGCCGCATCTCTTCTTTCTTTGCCCGGTAGCTCAGAATTTTTGGAAGGCGGGGGAAATCCTAGGATTGGCAGACGACCTTGATAGAACGAACTTCGTGGTTTTCCTTCGTCTGGTCTTTGAGCGGGCAACCTCGGTGGTCATGGTGTGCAGGATAGTGACGGTTTTATGGCGCATTTGGAAGGCACGGAATTGGGTGGTCTTTGAGTTCAAACAGGTACACCGGTCCATTTTACGGCAACAACTCAAGTTTCAAGTTCAGGACTGGGTAAGTGTGCTGGAAGGTGTCGGGGCTGGTATGCCCATTTGCCCACCAGTCCAGGTTGGGGTGTCCCTTTGGGGGGGGGGGGGGTTGACGTGCTATTTTGATGGTGATGTTTGTGGACAATCTTATGCTGCAATTGGGATAGTTATTCGGGATGCAACGGGGACCGTGTGGATGGAGCGTTCGATCCGGTCGTGGTGGAATTGGTTGCGGTTCGAGAGGCTATTTATTGGTGCATAATGCAGGGGGTGGCAGTCGATGCTGGTTTTGGGTGATGCTAAGGTTGTGATTGACAAAGTGAATGCGCGAGAGGTGATGGACGAAGGGTGGTGCGATTCTCCGGGAGATATGTACCCATGGTTTATAGTACGGTTCGTTGGTAGGCAAAACAATAGGGTTGCCCACTTGGTGGCAAGGAAGGCCCTTGTATTGTCGGCTAGTTCTGTGCTAGGATTTGATTTTTGCGCTTGGCTCCATTCAGAGTTGTAAACATTTAATCTATTTTTCTCTTGATAATGCAAGCTATCTTTGGTGGGGAAAAAATCCAAAAACGCTCTAAAAAAGGCCCAAAGCAATCCGTCCCTAGTCAACTATTGCTCAATAATTCCCCGATCCAATATATTTCCTCCCCCGGGCTTCTCTCTGCTAGCTGCTTCTTGTATATCGACCCGGTCCAAGTAATTAAAGAATGGCCCTTTGTGCAATTTGGCCCACGGGAATTAAACCTCTTCGTGCCCATGGAAAGAAATATATGGAACTGGATCTGTGTCCTATACTTGGGCCTGAAGTCTAATTTGTCAGCTGCAAGCTTGTACTGTTGGATGAGGAAAGAATCGGCTCAATTAAGTTTCTGCTTTCCTTGTAAGCTATCACACTTTTGCATGTGCAGCTGAATCTGCTCGTGCTGTCATTTTCTCATATATACCTTATTTTTATTGATTTTAGTGAGTGAACTGTTTTGATCTGGGTGTTAGTGGGCAAGTGAATTTTCAGGTTTATCCTTTTCGTGCATGTCTAGGAGGACGATCGACAATTTACTGTCATTAGATCCAGAGATATAGAAGACTTGCCGACAGAACAGGTTGCAAGTCAAGTTAGGGAAGCAACCGACCACAACTCATAGGCCTTCCCTAACCAAGAATCGTCAACAGAGAGGGCAGACTTTAGGGATGGCAATTATGCTCATACCCATGGGTATTTTACTATCCAACCCAATTGGGTTGGGTATGAAATCCAAATATATGGATATGGGTAAAGTTTGATGGGTTTGTACCCATACCCATTTATTTTGGGTTGGGTTGGGTTTATAACAAATGGATTTGGGTTTGTACCCATGCCCAAATACAAATTACAGTTTGGTACCTAAACTTAATAGATATGCATATTTAGTACCTAAATTTAATTTTTTTTGCATATAAGTCCTCAAAATATCGATGGAAAATTACGTTTTGGTACCTAAATTTTTTTGGTCTTACATTTTGGTACCTAAAATTTTCAAGTTTTACAAATAAGTCTAATTTTTGCATGTGTAGTTAAGACACCCTCAATTAAATGGATATCCATATCCAACCCATACCCATTTAGATAATATCCATATCTAACCCAAACCCATATACAAACCCCAAACCCATACACACATCACCCAAACCCTACCCATAATAGATGGGTCTACTTGGGTTTGGGCAAAATTACCCATGGGTGGGTAAATTGCCATCCCTAGCAGACTTCATCACCTATCGTGCCGCCACCACCGCGCGACATCAAGCTTGTCATCATGGTAGAGGATGATCATTCGATCAGAGCTCGCTTGAATTGAAGGGCTGGAGCACGAGCTTCATGTGTTGTCATTCCGGTTGGGGATGCAACCATTGAGATTACACGAGCATTCATCAACATGATCACCAATAGGGATGGGAACGGGTCGGATCGGGCCCGGATATTGGACATCTGATCCCCGTCCGAACAAAGTTCGGATAATCCCCGTACCCGCCCGAACCACAAGCATGGATAGTAAATTCAATACCATGCCCGAATGGATAACAGGTAATACCCGATCTCCGAATGTACCCGACCTAATTGATGAAAAAAGGACAACTATGAAATAAAAGTTGATAATTACCTAATTCTGGAAATAAATGCAAATAGCAAAACATTGAACCATCAAATAACAATCCAAGGATATCCAAAACTCTCCGGAACCAAATAGTTTGTTCTCCCACAAGGTAAAATCAAATGTTGCCATGTTTGTATAGCATATTGTTCCAAGGCAATAATTCATAAAGAAAAACATAAAAAAAACTCTAAATAAAAACTCCAAATTGCATCTTCATGGCATCAGCAACTCCATTTGGGAAACCCAGCAAAAAACACCATCTTCATTCAAGCAACCAAGCACCACCAGCAACAGCAGCAACATAAACCACCAGTAAATCACCAATCCTTCACTCTGTAGTCCCCCGCTATCTAGAATGATGTATGAACAAGATGACCATTACTTAATAATTTCCAGCAACAACACTACAAAGAGCATCAACCCATGAAATGAAACTAAAGAATATTACTTACCAGTAACAACAAATTACTCATCCAAGTGACATGTTGAGAAATTCTTTATCAATTCTTGTTCTACAAAGATAAACAAAAACAGAGAGGTGAGCAGCAGCCAACAAGATAACAAAATGAAAGAAATTGAAGATTGATCCAAAAAAAAGAAAAGAAAACAAACAGTAACCTTCATCTTCATTCTCGGATTCAATGTTTGGATTAAGAATTGAAGATTGACCCTCCAAATTAGTAGCATTCGAATCTGGTGTATAAAATAAGCAAATAAACAAATCAGCAGCTTGTAAAGATTAAAATAAATATAGGAAAGAAAGATAATAATAATTTTACCTATCATAAATGAATTCTGGAGCCAGCTCCTTGTGCACATCAATACCTCAACTGTAGTATAGTCAAGTCTACTACGATGAGGGTCCAATAATCGACCTCCAGCACTGAAGGCTGATTCTGAAGCAACAGATGTAACAGGTACAACAAGTACATCTCTTGCAATCTCTTGCAAGATTGGATACTTAATCCCATTAAACTTCCACCATAGTAAGATATCAAAATCTGCAGACCGAGGAAGAATTTCCTCATTCAAATAATTCTCCAATTCTGTTTGAATTGGTGTTGCTCTTGACCTTTTCCTTTGTTTAACAAACATATCAAAGTCCAAATCTGTACCAGAAGCATCACATGATGGCTGACCAACAGAACCAGCAGTAGAGAAAGAAGACTTTCCATTTTGTTTGGACTGATATTCCAATAACAAATCACCCAAAATCTGCTTTATTTTCTTCACATCCAACACACACTCATCAGCCCCAAATTTATTAGCATAGTACTCCACAATCTGAATTTTGTATCTAGGATCCAACACAACAGCAACTGCCAAAATTTCATGAATGGCACCCCAGTACTTGATGAACTTACCCCACATGTTTTCAGCCAACTTACAAACCACGGGATCAGGATTACAAAGCCACTCAGAAAGTTTAAGCTTCACATCACAAATTTTTGTGAAGAACACATTCGAAGTTGGAAATTTGGAACCAGAGAACAGATCTGATATTTTGCTAAAAATCTGCAACTTTTCACAAATAATGGAGGCAAACTCCCACTGAGAAGCCATAGGCAAACAACAATATTGAGAATCATGTTGTTTCAACCTAACAAACAACTCCTTGTATGGTATAGCAGTAGCAAGCATGAAATAAGTTGAATTCCAACGAGTAGGGCAGTCTAATATCAGTTTTTTATCAAGAGGACATCTTCCATTCATTTGCTTTGCTGTCTCTTTAAAAAACTCGACTCTTTTAGGTGTGGTAGACCAGTAAGCAACACTTTCACGAATCTTTTCAATTCCGTCTTTCACCACATCCAAGCCATCCTTCACAATTAAATATAATATATGGGCAGAACACCTCACATGAAGCAAATCACCATCCCTCAACAAGTAAGACAATACCAACTTCCCCTTAACCTTCTCAATCATAGCATCATTGGTGCTACAATTATCCAAAGTTATAGTAGATACCTTAGTGTCCACATTCCATCTCATCATGCACTCAGTTAGATAATAGGCCAGCCTTTCACTTGTGTGAGGGGTTGGAACATACAGAAAACTGCAAAACAGAAGAAACTTGGGTTAGTTCATTGATTCTATGACTCAAATACAAACTAAAGAAAACAAAAATTAAAAATTACACATCATACCTAAGAATGTGACTTCGAAGAGTCCATGAATTGTCAACATAATGGGCTGTAACAGCCATGTAACCCTTTTTCTGGTTGCTTGCTGTCCACATATCAGTGGTGATGGCAATTCTTCCCTTATTGTTGTCAATCAACTGTTGAATCTTACTCTTCTCATAAACATAGATCTTAAAAATCTCCTTCTTCATAGTTTTCCTTGATGGACACTAAACAAAGGCTGAAGAGAGCACACAAAACGTTTGAAGTGCAGATGCTCCGCCAATGATAAAGGATACTCATGCATAACAAGGGCAATGGCAAGCTCATTCCTAGAAACCTCATCATCAAATTGACTTGCTACCATTTCCCTTTCCCCTTTGCAAGGAAATCAGGACCGAGTACTTTTTGTTTTCCTTCTTGAATCCTCCTCTGCATACAAGTCCTAACATGACTTTTCAAGTGAGAAGTGCCATTCCCAAATTCACCACCAAGCATCTTCTTACAATGGTTACACTTAGCTTTAATTACACCCTTAACTCTTATTTTCGTAAAGTGTTTCCACACTATACTTTTAAGACGTCCCAACTGAATTACCTCTTCTTCATCAGGATTTGTTTCATTGATATTGGCAGTCGGTTATGCTTCAGTACCTTGCTGATTGTTTACTGCCTGTTGTGTTGAACCAGGAACAACAATCACAGCTTCTTGACTTCCTGGTTTTGGAGCTACATGCAACTGTTGAGAAGCGGCAGCACAATTTTGAGCCATATTAACCTGCAATAAGTGGCGGAATTAGGTTTGAATAAAAACCTAGAATTCAAAAAAAATGCAAGAAAGAACAATTACCAAGTTGTTCTGGTCAATACCCAAATAGAGATTAGAGAAGTCTAACCTTAAAGGATGGAAGTTGTGTGCGTGGAGGGAGGTTGTGGCAGTGGGGTTGCAATTCTCTCTTGAGTAGGGATTGCTTTTTTTCAATAAGGAGATGGGATTTTAGGAACCACTGAGTTGGAATTAAGATCATGAGCCATATATATAGCCAGCGCCCAGCGGCAGCAGATCAATTGCTAGCCGTTTCGCATCCTGTCACCCATTAAAGAGCTTTCTCGATGCTCTATCTGCCTCATCGAAACTCAACGTTGAAAGCTTGGGAAAGAGAAGGATTTTAATTTCTATCTATTGCAAGGTATACGAGCAGCCGAGTAGATGCACGGGTATTGAAAGATGGGAATTGCATGCTCTAGGAAATAAATGGCAAAGAGAAGATGAGAGGCCATTGTGTTTTCCAAATTCCAAGTTCATGCTTCGCACTGTGTTTATTAGGGCATTGAAGTGGCGGAGTTCATTTTGTGGAGTAAAGGAATTAAGGAAGATAGGTCTCGGGTACGGATTCGGGGCGGATAGTATGAAATCCGTCCCCTACCCTTCCCCGGTAATTAATGTTCCGGGTTTTATCCATCCCCGATCCGGATCCAGTCAACACGGATTTTATCCGGATTGATCGGTTTGGGTTCGGACGGATAACCAGATCCATGGATTTTCCTCCCATCCCTAATCACCAATGGGTATACTTTCTCCTGGGCAAGCAATGAGGATCCTCATGAACATCTTCGCTGGTTCGCAAGCATATGTGAATTAATCTTGATATGATAGGTAGTGAGTCCCGGTGTTTCTCCTAGAGCTTTCTCCCATTGATTTCAACCCAACAATTTTAGTTGCTTGTTTTGTTTAATTATTAAATAGTAGTTTCATCACTAAAACCATTTTCACTTATAGTTTGCTCCACATAATTGATATAATATAAGGTTGTACCAGTCCCTGAGAGACGACACCCGGACTTCCGGTTTACTAGGAATTAGGCATATACGTTTTTTGCCCTATCACCTCCTCAAATGAAAGCGATTCGACTTATAAAAGCTTTCGTTTGCACATGTCATGAATACAAGAATACATGTGCTTCACAAATGAGGTTATCGAAATTCGAACACAAGATCTCTCGAACACAAAAGACTCTAATATCATTTCAAGAATCAGTTGATCCCAATAACTCGAATTGTTGAAAAGGGTTCAATAACTCGAATAGTAAAAATCCACGAAATCGAAACATGAAAACCCTTCAAGTGTGGAACAAAATCTAACAAATCGTCATCATAATTAAATTACAAGGATCAATAAAGCAAAACAAATGTGGAACCAACAAACCCCTGCCTTGTGTACAAACGCTAGAAATTAGAAGAAATCCACGCCACATACAGAGAAGAACTGACTGACATCTGACGGACGGTCACAGATATTACATGAATAATATCATGACAACCACAACTATATTAATTATTAATTATTATTATTATTATTATTATTATTCACGACTCCTATCTTCAGCACCCTCCATGCATCAGCCGGACGCCACCTGTCCAGATAACTTTGCAAAACAAAACAAATACGTAAAGTCAAACAGTCAATTTACCAGGCTGATGATGGAGGAAGATGATGTATTCATGGATCATGGCATCACGCTATAAATAAATAAATAAATATCCCCGGCCCCATGACCTTAAAAGGAAAAGTAGAGAGCGTATATAGAGTTATTGATTGGTTGGTAGCTAGGTTAGGTAGACGCTGTGTGCTTTCCAATTCTGTGCTCAATTATTTTGTTTGTGATGAAGAAATCTAATTAATTACAGTACTAGTGATTTGTGTGGGTGGTATTGGTAATGTAGCTGTAGCCGTCCGATTGAGGAATTAGGCCGGCCGGCGTACGTACTCTGATCAATCGATCCAGGAAAGAAGAGAATAAATTGAGTACCTGATGAGCGGCCGGAGAGGGGGATTGACGGGAAGAGGATCCTCGTCATTTGGTGATGGCGTAGATGGCATAGATGATCCCCGGGATGTAGCCGAAGAGAGTCAGCACCAAACAGATCCAGAACTCCACCTGCCCACCCATCAATTTCAGCCAACTAATAATTATAACTAATACTGATAATTAATTAACGAAAGCTGCATATAGATACATACATGACAGCCAAACTTGAGGAAGACGCCAAGAGGAGGCAAGAGGATGGCCAGCAGGATGTCCACGCAGTTAGCCGTCCCCTCCGACATGATGATGGTTGGTGATTCTTCCTTAACTGATTGATGATCGCCGCCGGCGAGGATGGGAAGAGGAGAACTCTCTCGAAAGAAGTCGCTAGTTATTGGTAAAGGGAGACCGAGAGAGAGAGAGAGAGAGAGAGAGAGAGAGAGAGAGAGAGAGAGAGAGAGGAATGGATTTGAATTTGGAGGCTTAATTGGCTGGTTCTGGTGGTTTTGTAGCCTGCTGGGCTCGTGTGAACATGAAACACTAATTTATTATTGCTAATTTCCTTAATAATTTACTGATCCCAGTGTTGGTTTTGTAGTAATCCGTAGCTACTAGCTAGTCACATCCCACCTTTTGTTCTTTTCTTTTCCAGCAGGTTCCTCATCCTCTTCTTATCTACTTAATTACGTGATTAACTGTGATTTCTACTTTCCCATTTCCATTCATTTCATTTTGGTATATTAATCCATACGCCACGTCACATGTCTGTCCAGATCTTCTAATTTCATGTATTTATCTAATCACATACACATGGTCACCGAGTATCAACTGCATCATTGCATGTGTTACTGTTTAGACGGTTAGAGTTTTTTTTAATTATTATTAACTGTGATATATGTTTGTTTTTATAGTTAGGTTCTATTTAAATAATTTGTGTAACACCCTAGCCCGGCCGAGCACTACTTTTACCAAATTGCTCTTGAGAAATCATAATTTATTCAAAGCGAAAAGGAATAATTAATATATCATAAAATAATTTGAAGTCACCATAGGAAATCTCTCTTAACAAAATCATAAATGAGCATCAGTCTCAAGTCTACTAATAAAAGTATATAAGTGAAAATGGTTCACTTGGAATCTTCCGCAATCACTAACGCTTGTGACGATGACATCTCGAGTAACAGCTTTATGTTAGCCGGTGGCCCGAATACTCCTACTTGCTTGCAGTTCCTGAATCCGGGCGTTGGGGTCAGTCCTAATCCTATATTCCAATCTTGACAATAATATAAAATGAACCAACACACATAATGATTGCAAAAGACATGCAGTGTCTTAGTACGTTATTAGGGGTACATTATTAGGAGGTATTGAACTTATAATTCTTGTTCACCTTCTAGATATCTTTCATCTTTTATCTTGTGATGGGGCCCCTACCGCGACTTAGCTGGCGCCACTTCCTGCTTAACATGCGTTATGACCACCGCGTTACGTATCGCCATCCGGTGTCAAAACTGAGGTATGCCAACCGCGTTACGTATCGCCGTCCGATTGCATACCTAAACATGGGCAATGGAAACTGCGTTACGTATCGCCGTCCAGTTCCATGCCTGATCAACTACTGCGTTACGTATCGTCGTCCAGTAGTGATCCATCGTGAAAAGTGGCTAGCTAAGCGAGGTTAACTCGTTCTTACTTATTAACTTGTTGACTTATACATGCTTGCCTTAATTAATCTCTCACCCAAGGAGAAATATAATTAAGTCATACTTGCTTACATACTTGAACTTGGTGATCTCCCACACAATGGGAAGATCCAACGTAATAACTTGCTTAACTTAGAAACTTGGGTTCAGCTTGATCTTTGATGAATATGATGTTGTATGCTGAACGTGCATAATAATCATAAATAATAACTTGAACATGAATCAAGTAAATGCATAAACTTAAACACCGATAGCACATAAGAGCAAATCATTTAATCCAAGTAACATGCATCATACATAATTCAGAATGGAATACTAACTAGCCCCCTCAAACCACGCACCTTATTTGGTTGAGCAGTTAAACTTGATCTAGCCCCAAGTCAAAGGATCAATGCTCAAGAGAAAATGATTCGCCTTGTCAATAGTGGCGGATCCAGGGGGTGGCCACCCCGGGCCCCGGCCCAGCCCTCCCCTGGATCCGGAACTAGTATAGCCCTTATGAGTTTATCGATTTAATCATTTGGCCCAGTGTTATTTTATAATAAAATTGTGTGTAATTAGGAAAATGAGTAAGATGAACATATTCAAATCACAACTCTAAATTTAGCCTGAAAATTCTAGCTCCAATAATTCTCATATAAAGAAAAACAAACAATGAAACCTCAAATTCTAAAACGTAAAAGACTAAAAGAAATATGAGGTTTATTCTCTTAAGAAATTACTTGAGCAGCTGTTGAAAATAGGAATTGATTAGTCGATTGTGTTGACATTTGCGCAACAAAATGAACGATGAATTTCTCTCCAATTGGTTAACTATTTTATCTTAAAGAGAGTATGTTATTGATGTGGATGTAAACTCTATTATTGATGAATTCACTATATTAAAATTTAAAAGATTGACGTGTACAATTGATATTGTAAAAAAAAAACTGTGATTTTTTTACGATATCTAATTTTCTAATGAAATGCGGCCCAGTGCTACGCTGTGTCCCGGATCCGCCGCTGCTTGTCAACCTATGGCGAATACGAAGGTTAGATCGGTTGGGTTCAGGTACTTAGCGATGCCTTTCTCAATTTGGAACTACTTTGCAATATGTACAAGTATACGGGCTTGCTAGAACAATATCAAATTAATTAATGATAATTGGGTCTCTTAATTCAACTTGCGTTCCTACAAATTAGTCGATCAATTAACTTAGCTTATTAACCAATAGATTAATCTCTAATATTATTCTCATGGGTCAAAACTGATAAACTTACTCATCAACTACTTAGATTAAAATAACTCTCTTACCCAATTAATTATCGTATTATCCTCTAATTAACTCATCATAATATTCTACCCGTTGAAACGAATATTTGCTAACTCATAGCTTAAATGGTCTTTACCTATTAACTTGCTTGAAACCCCCTTATAACAACATCATCCATCACATTATGAATCAAATACTAAACTAATCCAACTAAATCATTTTATTAACCACTAAGTTATTAACATCCTAATCCATACACACGAATAGGGTACCTATTAAACCAATTATAAATTAATTCCATTTGAATTACATAATTAACACTTATTAACTTAGAAAAATTAGTACGTGAAAGTTGCGGCTCGTTTAGTGACCATCCGATAGTCCGTCGCTAAATCCCTTACAGTCCGTCCTAAGAAATCTGCCACTGCTTCTATTGGACAGACTGTCGGCGACGGCCAGAAACCGTTGCTAAAAGCCTGAAAATTCGTCACTAAGTCCCAGAATCCTACAAACTCATATGACTCAAGTAAGTATCGATTCTTAGGCGAGGGATCCAGCTTCCTTACCTCGTATTCGTGCCTAGACCTTGATTTGAGTCATGAGGGTCGTTGTTTCTTGGTTTATTAGTCGTTTGATAACCCGGTACCTTTGTCGTCGAGGCTACGACGGAAAACGACCATGGTTAGCTAATTTATAGCTTCTAATATTGGAAAGGGTCTGGGATCTATCACTCTTACCTACTGTTCTCACGAGAGAGTGGAAGATACGAAGGAAACCAGCGCTCGTTATGTGATCCTTCTCTGGTAACGACAATGAACGGTGGTGTGGCCGGTGATGTGGCGAGATGATGATGACGAGATGGATGAGTACGTGTTATTGTTGGCCTCAGCCTCCTCCTGCTAGCAGTGGCAACGATGATGATTTGGCATGGAGGTAAAAGAGCTTTAGCTTCTGGTGGTGTTTGATTTGAACAAGGAGAAATGGGGGTTTCCGGATGCGAGAGGCAGATGGATGGCGGTGGTAATGGAGCACAATTGGGGAGAGGAAATGGTTTCTTAACTTCATGGAAGGGAGGAAGAGAGAAAATAAATGGGATCACATGATTTGCCTGCAGAAGATAAGAGAGGGGTGATGGGAAGGGATTAATGGTGTCGGTTGACAGAAGAGAAGAATGGGGTCTTTTCCTCTTGTTCCACCTCCCATTCATCCATACATCAAATAAATTCCTCACCTGTAGCTTTCTTTTACAAGACTAATTACCTTGTGTTTAATTTAAGCGGAGGGTAGTTTGCGTACTTTGCAAAGGATTAGTGTACGGGTATTACAATTTGTATTGAAACCTCTATGTTCAAGAAGAATATTATTTTTACCCGACCAATCTCTTGTTCGTTTTTAGATTGTTACTGTTAAGTCATCTCTATTAATGCAATTCATTTGCAATTGATAAGTGATCTTTATTATTATCTAAAATATGTGATCTTTATTATTATCTAAAATACTCTCTCTCTTTTCTCTCTCCTCTTTTCGTTCTCTGAAAGAAATCCCTCTTTGTCGATGGCTGCCTCGCCGTCGGCTGCAAAGCCGGCTGGCGAGGGCTCCTCCTAGGCTAGCTTGTTCTCTGTGGCACCGGAAAAACGTCTCACGTATCGACCTCCAGAGAAAATCAAAGATGGATTTCGAATCCCACATGCGATCAAGGAGAAGGGTGTTGAATGATGGAGGAATTCCCTTGTCGTCAATTCGTCGGGAAGCGACCTAAGGTAACAGAGCTCCAGTCTTGGGCTAACCGACTTTGGGGGAGAGATGGTGTGGTACGTGTTTCACGATTCGGTCCGAAGCTTCTAGTATTTCAATTTCCCTCATCTTCATCGTGCGATTGGGTTTTCAAATCTGGTCCTTGGCACTTCATGGGTAATCCTATCTTCTTTCAAAAATGGGAGGTGGGTATTTAGCCAATTGTGCCGAAGGTGGAGACGTTGCCGATTTGGGTTAGGATATGGGGATTGCCTCTTGAGTACTTAGGTCAGGATGTGATAGAGTGGGTTGCTAGTACGATTGGAAAACCCCTCTGGACAGATTAGAAAACGCGGTTTGGTGATCAGCTAGGTTTCTCCAAAGTTTGTATTGAGCAATCAGCTGACTTCGATTTCCCACGCCGAATCCATTTGTACCCAGATAATGATCCGGATTTTGAAGTTGAGGTTGAATACTCGCATCTTCCAAAAGTTTTCTCTAAGTGTTGTATGTTTGGGCATTGCTGACAACAAGAACCAAGTAGACAGTGGAAGGTAGGGGTGTTCAAATGGTTACCATGGTAATAACCAAACCAAATAAGCCTAAATTTTATTAACTCTGTAATACAATATCATAACCAAACCATCCAAACTAATACAACAACCAATTAACCAAACTAAAGTTTATTCGGTTTGGTTAATTGGTTAACCAAAATAACCAATATAACACCACATTATCACTAAGTGAGAAAAAATTTCAGTTAGTGCATCAATTCACAATTTATATAATGAACAACACATAACAATCCACATAATTGTAGTTAACCCTTAACGTAAATACATGTAACAAATACAATTATCTTACATTTGACTCTTGAGTGGTTATGCAAAGTATTAAGTATGTGTATATAATACATATTAGATATATGGCTAATTAGTAATTACTTAACTGGTTAATTTGGTTTGATTGGTTAGGAGTGCCTGAAACCAAACAAACCACCTGAACCAAACAAGCTAAATTTTTTAACCAAACCAAATTAGCCAAATACTACTGGTTAATATGGTTACCACGGTAACCACACCGTTTGAACACCCTTAGTGGAAGGTCAAAGAGGTTGTTGTTGAGATGGGAATGAATGATAAGGATGTGCAGTCCAGCTTAGTTGGTGAAATTGTGCACACTGTAGAGACTAATCTTGTAGCTGGTGAGAAGTTGCATGTTACTGAGGCTGCTCAGGAGGATATTGAGAGTGTAACTGCAGAACATATGATGGATTCTTCCATATCAAATGTGGATTTTGAGCAGACAACGGTATTGTGTTGATGATTGTATGGTTAGTGCTGACTGCTGAAGTTATAAAAATTGAGCCTAATTCATTGCTGCCTTCTGTGGACACACTCGGCCAGGCTCCTTTCTCAATTGGGAGCCCACCTTTGAGTTTTTCTCAAATTGTAAGGGGATCATCACCTACAGGTGGGAGTCCTCTTGCAATTGGACATTCAACTGAGGATGGTGAGTCACCATGTTCTGGGAGCTTACAGACTTAGTTGACTCTAGGTGGCAGGGCTGGTTCTGGTAAAGGAAAGGAGAATGTGAAACCACAAGCTGAAAAAGGGAAGAAATTTTGGGTGGATTCTCCTTTGGTTCCTTGTCAGCCACAGAAGAAAGGAGGTAAAGGTGGAAGGGGGAGAGGTAAAAGATGAAGATACTCACCTGGAACACAAGAGGATTTAAGGTAGAAGGTAAATATAGAGCTTTACTAAAGAAAATAAACAAATATAGTATAGATATAGTTGCTATATTAGAGCCTAGAATAAGAGTCTCTGAGACAGACAAGTTGATTGAAGAAAGGTTTCCACATTGGGAGACAAACACTAAACATAACTCAGCTGGTTTGGGTAAGATTTGGTTTCTTTGAAGAAAGGAGATACAGTTAACTGTTCTTCACTCTTCATATCAATTTATTCAGATTATGGTGGGTGGCATTCAGCCATTCTTTGGTACTGTTGTCTATGCTTCTAATGAGTAATGAGGAAAAAGATAGACAGTTTTTGTATAGTGAGCTAAAAAGAATTCAAATCTCAAATGTTCCCTGTATGGTGTTAGGGGACTTCAATGACATTCGACACCCTTCTAAGGCTTCAAATAATCTAAGAGTGGATACAAGTATGAGTTATTTTCAAGATTGGATTGTTTATTTGGAGCTAGAAGTGCATCAAGCTAATGGTCCCTGATTTACCTGGTTGAACAAGCAAGAAGCGAATCTGATTACTAAAAGATTGGATCGAGTTCTGGTCAACTTTGGATGGCTAGAAAAAATAAAGATAGTAAGGTTCATATTCAAACCTCTGGTGTGTCAAATCATTGCCCTCTTTATATGGATACAACTGCTTCAATGAAGTCTCTACCGAAACCTTTTAAATTTTTTAATTTTCCTCGATTTGATGAGCTTTTGGAAGAGGCTTAGGGGAGTAGAGTTTCTGGGCACCCTCTGATAAGAGTTTGCAAAAAGCTTAAGAATCTCAAGAACTTGTTAAGGAAGTTCAATAAAGAAGAGTATTCTGACATTAGTGAGAGAGTAAAGGCGAAGGAGGCTGAGCTTCATCTTATGCAGCAGCAGGTCCTCACTGACCCTTCTGTGGATACTTTTGGAGATGAAAGGAGGTTAAGTCATGAACTTAAGGTTTTAATGGATGTTGAGGAAAGCTTTTTGAAACAGAAGTCAAAAGAGAACTGACTTAAAACAGGTTACATGAATTCTGCATATTTCCATCGATCTGTCCATCTAAAACAAAAGAGAAGTACTATCAGGGTACTTAAAAATGAGCAAGGTGAGAAGATTCAAGATTTTGAAGAAATGGCTCATATTGCTGTTCGATTTTACAAAAACCTGTTGGGAGTGGTTGATACTGAAGTTCAGGCCCAGTAAGATAATTTCTTTGTTGATCTGCTAAAAAGGAAACTTACTGAAGAGCAGACTATGGGGCTTTATGATTCATTCACTGATGAGCATATTAAAGATGTTATATTTAGCATGGATGGCGATAAAAGTCCAGATCCTGATGAGAAAAATAATCAAGATGGAGAAGACAATCATCCTGATGAGAAAATCTTGCTCCTTGGATGCTTGTGGTGTTCTTGAAAACGAAATCAAGCCTTCTAGGGTGATGAGAAGCTCCAATTCTCCTCCAAACTCTCCTTGCTCGTCACTTTAGGAGTGGAAGAAGAACTCAAATTTCTCTCTCCTAAGCCAACTCCCTCTTCAAATCTGATTTCTCTCCTTTTTTTATATTCAGGAGTGCAGAGTTTACGGTTTCCCGTCACGACCGTGAACCATGCAACGAAATCGTGATATCGACCGAATGTGCACCGGTTCTCTTAGGGGTGGGCAACGGGACGGGACGGGATACCCGTCCCGTTTTAAACGGGTACCCAGTCCCATTTGGAGACCAAAGTCCATCCCATATCCCAAACCCATATGGGAAACGGGTACCCATTACCCGTACGGGACGGATAACGGGTACCCATACTACCCATAAATACCCAAAGTTTAAACCACTAAAATTTTAACAAAAGTTTAAACTTAACTTGTATTTGCTTAACAATCACAAGACACAAAATACATCCCAAACACAAATACTTGGTTTGCAAATTACACATTCATGAACAATCACAACACATAGAAATAAATCATTTCAAGTACCAAATTATCAAAAAATAAAAGTTTCATTCAACACATCCCAACCCTCTCTACTAATTCACCAAACATGTCAGTGAAAGAGTGAAAGGGTAAGGACCCAAATGGAATTGAAATTGAAAGGGTAAGGGCCGAAATGGCCAATGGGTTTTGAATTGGGTTGGGCTGAATTAAATTTCTGCATTTGTATTGAATGGGTATAACGGGTACCTATATTACCCAAACGGGTATTCGCGGGTAACCCGCAGGTACCCATATTAGGAATGTACAATCCCAAGTCCTATCCGTTTATAATATTACGGGTAATATGGGTACTGGTAACCCTTAAAAAACGGGACGGGTACGGGTATACCCAAATACCCGTTTCCCGTTGCCCACCCCTAGGTTCTCTAACGCACTTCACGGTATGGTCGAAATCTTCACGCTTTGAGACCATGAAGTCTGTACCGACAAGCGAGTTGTCCTAGTCTTCTTGAGATCCGGTGATGTTCACGGTTTTGGTAAAATCTTCACTCCCTGATACTGTGAAAACATTCCCTGAATCGTGATCTTTGACTGTTTTCACCATTCAGCCCCATATTGGTTCCCTTTCGTGCGAATTTCGATCCCTTCGTGAATTTCACCAGGTAGAGTATGAAACACACCCAAACACGAAAAAATCTAGCATATATAAAATAACTCAAAAAATAATGCTACACAAGTGAAAGTACAAAGAGAAAGTGATGTCAATGTGTATAATTAGCTGAATCGCAGTACAAATTGGAAAAGAGATGCCCAAAATATGATAAATCAATGTCGTAATTAAATTACAAGGGATGAAGAAAGGAAATAAATGTGGAATTAATGTGTACAACACTAGAACAACGCTGGAAAGGTAGAAACCCACAACCACATTAAGTGAAGAACGACTAACAGACTGTCACGGGTGTTACATTAATATAAACCTTCACAAGAAGTCACAACCCCCCAAAGGCACGCATCATCAGCCGGACTCCACCACCTGTCCACATAATTTTGCAACACAAAACAAAACAAAACAAAACAAAACAAAACAAATGTGTGGAGTCCGTCAGTCAATTTACTAGCGAGATGGAGAAAGATCATGTATTCATCATGCTATGTATAAATAAAAAACAAACATGGAGTGGATATGCCTAACTTCACACAGTTGGCCTCCAATAAATATGAAATATGTAAAGAGGAAGAAGAAAAAAAATATAACTTAATTAATTGTGTGACAGCCAGAGAGGCAGCTGTGCCGATACGTGTCCCACGAACGATTGATTGGTAGGTGCTGTGTGCTTTCCATGTCTATGCTTCATTAGTTTGTTTAATTTGGGAGATATACCAAATATACATCTAATCAACCAGAAACCTAATCAACAGTATCGAATTTGTGTGGGTGGTATTGGTAATGTAGCTCTAGCCGTCCGATTGAGGAATAGGGCCGGCCGGCGTACATACTCAGACGGATCGATCTAAGACAAAAGAGAAGAAATTGAATAAAGTAGGCACCTGCAGATGAGCGGCCGGAGAGGGAGATCGGAGGGGATCATTTGGTGATGGCGTAGATGGCATAGATGATCCCCGGGATGTAGCCGAAGAGGGTGAGCACCAAACAGATCCAGAACTCCACCTGCCCACCATCGCCGACGATTAGTTCGTTAATGATTAATTTTTCAGGCACCGGATAACTAATACTGGTAATTGATGGCAGCTGCGTATAGTATAGGTACATAATAAAATACCTGACAGCCAAACTTGAGGAAGACGCCGAGAGGAGGCAAGAGGATGGCCAGCAGGATGTCGATGAAGTTAGCCGTGCCGGTTCTCATGATGATCGACTGACTAAACTGATCGAGGATCGACGCCGGCGAGGAGAGGAGAACCGAGCACTAGTTGTTGTTGGTAAAGGCAGAGAGAGAGAGAGAGAGAGAGAGAGAGAGAGACAGAGACAGAGAGAGAGGAGAATGGATTTGAAATTGGGGACTTAATTGGATGGTAGTGATAACCGTTGGTTGAATATATGTTGGGCTCTTTGAAGTGTCTCAACCGCTGCAGCAGGAGGGACCGAGGGAGTTACCTTTTTATACCAACCTCAGCCCCACCGCCCACCACCACCCTTCTCTCTCTCTGCGGTTTATGCTGGCTCGAGTGAACGCGTACACTGTACACCAATTAATTAATTATTACTAACGGCATGTGAATGATTAATCCGCGTTTTGAAATTAGCTGTAAATAATACAAATTATCGTGGATGGGTGATAGGTGTTAGTGGATTATCGTGGATAAAAAAAAAAATTGTATTCACTTTAGTGTATTTACAAAATCGAACCCTACCTGCACTTCAGTCAGAAAAACTGTCCTATCAAAATCGAAACCAATAGGCATTTTCAGCGCTATGAAATGGTCAAATTACGGTTAAACAACAGTTTCTTATCAAAATACTCTATCACTGACTTTTCCAGGATAAACTCTTGTACGCAATCTTTTCCAGGACTTTCACATGTCAAAGAGTTGTTTCATGTTTATACTATCAAATACTCATCATATTTCCTAATTGTATTAAAGTCATAAAGAGTGAATTACCGAAAAAGAAAAGGAAAAAGTCATACAGAGTGTCAATTTTTACTACACAAATTGATTGATAGAGTGATGAAAAATTTGACGCTTCTTCCAAAAAATTGAAATTCACACATTTAAAAAAACTTTGGTTTATAGGATACGTGGTTAGTTACTTTGTTTTCTTTGTCAATGAATACTTCATTTAAAGTAGCCAACTGAAAAATCGGTATAAATAATTTAAAAGTCTCAAGTAATAAAACTACGTATTCACATTATATAAATTGAGAATTTTCTAAATTACTGGTATCTTCATAATTTGGAAGAAATTTGTTATATATATATTCTCCAAATAGTTTAATGGTTAGTCGAGAAATTGCTTTTTGCAGCACGTTACCCTCAAATTAATCACATTTACCCACCGCCCACATAATCTAATCCAAAAAACATAACAAATAGCAAATCAAAATTGTATTAATTTATTAATAAATGTTTGGGTCGATTTGAATCCGAAATCCATCCAACTCATTAATTTCCCACCTAATTATTACTAATAACACCTTTTTTACCTTAATCAATTTATTGATGCACTGTTGGTTTTGTAGTTGTATGATGCATGTAGTTAGATCCCTTGTTTCTTTGTTTCTTTGTGTTTTCCAGCAGGTTCCTATCTAGCTAGTTACGTGATTAATTGTAATTGTGATTCCTATTTTCAGATTTCCAGCAGGTGCCTGCCTTGCTTAATTATGTTGTCTTAGGCCTTCGCTAGCGTGGCCAAAGTTTGATCTTGTCAATTACGCTTCGTTTTCTTGTCCGAGGAGTTTCCGCCAGCGAACAAATGAAAAGCTGGCCAGCGCGGAAACATAGCGATGGAATCGGAATGGATGCCCGAATTATTAATTACTTTGGACTTTACAATATATTAATATTAAATAATTGTTGATCATAATGTCGGTAACATCGACAAAAAGGCGAAGATAGATGGTGGTCGGTAACTAGTGCGGCAGGTGATGTGGACCTAAGGCCTAAGCTAATCATGTGGCAGCACCATTCGCATTGTCAGTCACCAAGGTTGTCAAACCGGTTTATATCGTTGTGCCGGTTTGACAAGTGGAATGGTATGATCGGTGGTAGAATAAGTTTGTGCCGATTTATACCGGTTTAAATAAATATGAAAACAATTAATATTCAATGTATTTAATTATATATAAAACATATTTATGGACAATTTAGTTAGAATCCAACAAATATCATCAACTTTTAACTATTAAATTCATAAAATGAATAATATATTACTTTTTTTATTGATTAAATTCATTAAAGTGATGTCATTTTGCTTAGAATGCACAAGTCGATCATATCGGTCATACCGGTGGTGTTATTCTGGTTTCATGACCGGCACAGGTTGAACTAGGTTCAACCGGGTGGCATACCACCGGCATGACAACCATGTCAGTCACCGAAGGAAGGAACACCCGCCTATGTACAGTCTGATGGTTGTCACGCCGGCCTGCGTGCCACCGGTTGTACCTGGTTCAACAGGTACCGATTATAAAATCGGCATGACATTACCGGTATGATGGGCATGATCGATATCCGAATCTCTAAGTAAAATGACCTTATTTTAGTGAATATAATTGTTAAAAATTATTTTATTATTTATTTTATGACTATAAAAGTTAAATATTGATGTTATTTGTTGGATTCAAGTATAAATATTTAGGTATTAACGTTAAATGTCATGTCTAATTATGAGTATTTATAATTTTATTTGTAATATTGACAGGCATGAACCAGCACAAACTGGTATGTGCCACCGATCGAACCATTCCATTTGCTAAACGGGCACACTGGCACAAATCGGTTTGATGACAACCTTGGTCAGTCTCTCATCTACGCGGGTCCCACATTCCCGGAATTCACCGCCCCAACAAACACTCCGGCGGAGATGCCGGACGAGATGGCATCCCCTCGCACCTGCGCTGCACCAATATATATCTGTATATTTATTTATTTATTTATTTATTGAAACTTTCCTTTTGATTGGATTAGATAATATCAATCATAAAGTTCACTTAACGCTTTCATTAATTAGTCAACTAATTCATCAGTCCCAACAAATTAAGCATTATTAGGTGCCGTGGTGGCTGCCTGTGCAGCAATCACTCTCACTAGATTATACATATGCTTCTTCTTTATTAGTGATCTCGATCTGGATATGATGATGCTGATGAATGCGTATCCATGTGCGGGATCGTGAGGAGATTATGTATGCCCACACCACCCACCCATAACAACCCATACTTAACGTGATTAATCTAATTACTCTTCCCGTATTCAGGAAAAGAAACAAAAGTAGTGTCATCTGTCATGATTCAATCACGTAACCCTCACACAAAAATAGACCCATAAGCTAAACATTGTTTATGCTCATTTTCTTGTTCCCCCTCAAGGCCTGAACCTCATCTTTTTGGGGAGTGAGTGTGTATGGATTACAACTCACAAAACCACACTACACATTACTAGGGATGGCAATTATGCCCATACCCATGGGTATTTTACTATCCAACCCAATTGGGTTGGGTATGAAATCCAAATATATGGATATGGGTAAAGTTTGATGGGTTTGTACCCATACCCATTTACTTTGGGTTGGGTTGGGTTGGGTTCATAACAAATGGATTTGGGTTTGTACCCATGCCCAAATACAAATTACAGTTTGGTACCTAAACTTAATAGATATGCATATTTAGTACCTAAATTTAATTTTTTTTGCATATAAGTCCTCAAAATATCGATGGAAAATTACGTTTTGGTACCTAAATTTTTTTGGTCTTACATTTTGGTACCTAAAATTTTCAAGTTTTACAAATAAGTCCAATTTTTGCATGTGTAGTTAAGACACCCTCAAGTAAATGGATATCCATATCCAACCCATACCCATTTAGATAATATCCATATCTAACCCAAACCCATATACAAACCCCAAACCCATACACATATCACCCAAACCCTACCCATAATAGATGGATCTACTTGGGTTTGGGCAAAATTACCCATGGGTGGGTAAATTGCCATCCCTACACATGACCTGACATGCATTTCAAAAGATTGTAAACTCATACAAAAATGTTGTAAAAAAAAATTAACGATAGGATATTTTGGGCTGAAACTGTTGTTTAACAATTGTATCTGGTAGACAAAAAAGAAAAACGTTGTTCAATTGTTCATACTACTAAAAACCATAGATCGGTTTAGTCTCCAATAAATGACTATCTCGATCGGACAGTCTGGCGCCACTATGGTACGTTTAACGTTTCACAAACACTACTGCGTAGACAGTCAACTATAACTGAATGTCCAATTGTCGGGATCAGTTAGTTTGCTAACCCCTCTATGGGGTTGGAAAAATGACACCCCCTATTAATTATAGTTAATTATGGTATTAAATTCGTGTTGCATTTAATAATCTTTGGGAATTAAAAACTTATCTTAATTACATTCCTTTTTTGAACTACCATTGCACTTATACAACTATCATTGCACTTGCATTATGCTTTGGTGGTTACCTGCATTTTCTTTGGCACTGTGTGCATTACGCTTTGCTAGTTACCTGCATTTGTGTTGGTTAGATGGAGCATTATGTTTTGGTAGTTATCTGCATTTAGTTTGGTAGTGTTTGCATTAGCTTTGGTAGTTTCTCTGTATTTGTTTTGGTAGTGTTTGTATTGATTTATTTATGCAATGGTATTGTTTTGATTCCACAGTAGTAGTGGTCTTGGTTGTTTTGGTATTTGTTTGACTTTTGTAATGATATATATTGTTTATATTGGTAGTTTTGTGTAATTGTATAGATTTATTACTGCAATGGTATTGATGTTTTTCAAAATGGTAGTGGTTGTCTAATGGATTAGTAGTGATTTCGTTTTTTTTCTTTTGCAGAAAGATTGAGAAAAATATGGAAAGAAAATCTGGCTGGAGATTACAGAAGTGAGAGAAAGAATTGTAATTAATAGATTTTTTTTAACTATCTATGATGTAATTTATTTAAATTAATTAATATAATATATTTTTCTATACTCAATTTACCCTTAGTAACCATGGTGATTACTATTTCACTGTAACCACTCCCAACACAAACCAATTATCTTAGAAACCTATAATTAATAGTGGTGTCATTTTTCCAAGGGTTAGTCATGCTATCTCATCCTCCAATTGTCTAGGGATGGCAATGGGTCGGGTCGGGGGCGGATAGTGCATATCCGTTACCCTACCCAAAGTACTTCGGGTTTTACCCATACCCATACCCACATGTGAAACGGGTAGAAAATCAAAACCATGCCCCATACCCGTTCGGGTTTCGGGTATCCACGGTTATCCATGGATATTAATTTCTCTTCATAACTCCAACCAATATGTTAACATTCACACGTATTCTTATATTAAGTAAGAGAAAAAGTACGACAAGAATTCACTAGAATGAAGAAA